ATAAGCAGAACTGGAGCTGCAGAGGTGTGTGCTAATTCAAGAGTACTACATTGCTAACTAAAATACAGATAAATGACAGCCAAAAAGCACCTTCACCATAGCTGTATGTTCAATGCAATCTCTTTTTCATAGACATGTTCTAAATCAAAGCATTCCTCTCACTTTCTCTCTTCTCATATAGTGTTTCCATTTCAGGAGTAATACCTCCAGCAAATGACCATTTCCTCAACAACAATCACAACTGTACTTTGACAAAACACACCAGGCTGCAGCATAGTGCAGAAACCACACTGCAAGAAAAAAATTTGTCCAGTGTATTCTCTCTGCCAGCAAGCAAGAGCAGCAGCTTCAAAGAGACTTACTTGCATGGGAAGGGCGCGTTATCTCCATCAGTTTGGGAAGGGAGCGGATGTGACCTCGGAAAGCCACTCTGGGGAATTCTTGCCCCAGCTTCACCCGAGGACAGTTTACATCCTGAAGCACGAAGTCTCCTGGGCGAGCACCATCCTGTGACATGCGCACAGTTTTCCACATCCTTAGTTATCAAGTCTTTGGTCCTGGCCAGTAGCTATGTGGTGTTAGTTTTCATCATGCAAGATAGATTTGCAAGGAACATTTCTCAAAGAGGGAGCTAAATACTCTGCAACAGAGAATAATTTATTTGCCTTAGTCCCTAATTAATCTGAAATTTTGAGGTATTCAGGCTGTATTCCAAGTAGGCTAATGTTTCCTCTTCACTTCTTTCATTGCTTCTCAGTCTTCATTATCTTTTGATAATTAAGGCATTTCTTTCTGAATGCTACCAGTTCTCTTCCAAACCAGATAATTCTATTGCAACCACCACTTCAACTATACAGTTTATCTATAGCATAGATAACATGTCCAGCATAGTTCCCTAAACATTCTACTCCCCTACTCAGATACAGGCACAGGTCCAGAGAAAAAGTTCCTCATCCTGTGGATCACCTGAGTTCCTTAAAACATCAGAGCTGATCCATGGAACAAAACCTAGAACACTCAAGTGTGCATGTTCCCACACATGCAAACACACAAGCTCAGGAAACAAAACAAAAGCAATAAATGGATGTTCAAACTTTTGCGTCACAGCCAAGAAAAAACACTCTGGCTAAACTGTAGCAGATATTCTACTGACTAGTTTTACTTTGTTCTTCTCCAAAAGGTTAATGTTGTCTTTACTTAAAAAAAAAGAAATATTAAGAACACAGAGGACACTATTCATGTTACTGCTTTCCTTCTGGAAGAGGATTAGGCCAGACAGACACAGTTTCATTGCTTGAGCATGCTGAATGCAAGCCTTTTGTGCAAGCCACTGTGTGTTCTCAAGTCACTGAGGGATGAAATCCAAAATTTAGAGAAAATCACAAACAAAAGACATATATGAAAGTAACTAAAAGACAGATTAGTGAGGATAAAGGAAAGCTGAATAATTAGGCACAGTGATACATACTTTACACAGTATTGTAAAGAAAAGACCAAGAAGCTTCACAATGATAAGGCCTACTCTGCCAGACTAAAATAATCATTGAGAAGGTGGCAAGAACAGTTGCATGACTTGACCTGTCAGGGTTTTATTTGTTTTACTGCCAGTTTCCAAACTCCCTTACAAAAAAACACCACTCCCCTACTTCATCACATTCAGATGCAGAATCCTCCCTGCCTCAAGTACCAAGTCTTGAGTGAGGGACTAAATTTCTTCAGATAATTTCAGTGTGAATCAGAGTTCAAGTCAGAGCTGGAACTGAAATGCTAAGCTTGACCAAGAAACACATTGGTTTATTTACCCCATTATAACCAACAAACAGCAGGTATTTCCTAGAAATCCAGCTCAAAGGACAGCCCAACACTCCTGACCTCAATGTAATTTAATTTCTGGAGCAATGCAAGAGTTGGTATCTCACTTTTAATTGTACTATGCATGTACAGGCTCCTTTGTGTCCACCACAGTAACAAACACTGTGATGAAATAGCCTGTCTAGCAGCTAACACCACGTTTTGCTATTACTCAGAAACTATTTCACAAGTATTACTGGCTACAAAACCTGTGATAGTTAAAGGCACAAACTGAGCCATTTTCATGAACAGGGAACACTACCTGATCTGACATTTTTTTTTAATTACAAAACAAAATATTCATACTTATAATATTTAATCTAGCAGTAACACAGGAATCTGAGATTAGAAATCAGAGTTGATACCCAAGTAGTTGCTGTGGGTTTCCCTTAATAAGAGCAATCTAACAGCAGGCTGTTTTAGCCAACTAATCACACAGGCTCACTTCCCACTCAGAAGGAGGTGGCTCAATTAGCTGACCCCTGGAGTGCCTCTCCTGTGCATGCATCTTGACACGCTGCAAATTACCTCTAAAGAGAGCTTAACCTAAATAAAACCCTGATGTATAGGTATTTTGAGACAGGCAAAAGGCATCCCACTTTGGAAAGCAAGTCAGTTCTGTGTGATTTATTTCTGTTTTCTCAGATTTTCATGCGTCAGTATGTCCTGCAGATTTCTACACAAGTGGTAATTAAGACACAATTTACTTTGATTTTTGACCACAAAATCAAAATAGGTTTGGCTACACTTAACTGTTCTCACAAGACCTAGAAGCAAATGAATACACCCAAGGTAAGTATTTACTGGAGGGGGAAAAAAAATGGAGAAACAATGGGATTGCTCCAAACAGAAATTATTGCATAATCAGGTTTTATTAGTCATATTATTTTGAGGGCATTTGTTCACAGCCTCATGAATAAAGTTTTAATATAAAAATCTGTCCATGTCCATTTTGATCACACTTTGAGGGTTTGGTTTGTTTTTGACAGTTCTTGAGACACCATTTCCCAGATGTCAATAAGGATCATGCTCACACTGCTCCTCCCAAAGGCTGTGTGATGTTCAGAGAGTTCTGCTCATCACTCACAGGCCACCAAGACCTGCAGGTCTGAGTATTGCTGAGAAACAAAAACCTCAACAATCTTCCTGGACTTTGCCAGCAGACCAAGAACCCTGGTATCTCCACATTTCAGCAGCCAAGCACTCAAGAGTACTGCTGAAGTAAACCAAGAGGTTGTCATTTCAGGATAACCTAAGAAACATGCAGACAACAATTTGATTTCAAAAACATTCCAAGTCTGCTTCTATTCATGTAGCTCCTCACATGAGGCAGGACTAAACAAAACTCATTCATTCTCAGACTGCAATGGAACATTTCTTTTGGCTCATTTGTGAATTATATGAAATAATTCAATGTACAATTACGCTTTTGCAGATATCACTACCTTGACAGTTCATTAACAGAAATCAGACATTGCTTCTTTTCTTAAATTACTCGCTTTCAACAATTTAGCAAAAATCCTAATCCAATATTGGCAGCAGTTGAAAGTTACCTTTATAACTTTAATCAATAATAAAAAAAAGACAGCCTATCAGAAATACTTGTTTCTCCATAGACAACACACAACTAGCCAGAAACACAAAGAATTTCTAATTCTGGTTACAAACTCATTTATGGCAGCAGAACAGGCAGCTGAGATCACAGGATCCAATAGTGAGGAATACTTATTTTCCCTTTAGCTAAAGTAGTCAGTATTACCCAAAGCACCTCTTTTCAGGAAAAAACAGAAATTCATGATTTAACTTTCATATTTTTAAAAAGTGAAAACAATAATTTCTTTATTTTCCAGTAGGAAAAGGACTAAAGTAGCAAAGTGAAATTCCAAGTTCAGAAACAAAACATTTCTCAAAGTGTTTTGAAAACTCCACTAAGTTCTTGTTTTGAGGCTGGGCTGGTTTAGGCTTGGGGGTGTTTTAATAGGATTCTTGTATTTACACCAGAAATAGGAGAAAAATGAAATTACCACTATTGCATCTAGTTAGACAAAACTCTTTCCCACTACAAACCAGGCATTGCTAATGAAATAACTAACTGCAATCTGTTAATGCCAGTTCACACCAGAACCTGGGCTACCAGGTCTTTCTCACTGAAGGTGGCAGAAAGCACAAGCTGTAAAATCCCAGTATTTTATGAAAATAAAGGCCACAGTCACACTAGATAAGAAGCCACACAACAATGAGGCTCATGAGAAGAAAGCACAGCAGAATGAAAGGACAGATCTTTCCCTGGAGAGCTTTGAGATCCTCTGTACTTGAAACACAGGCTCAAACAATCAGTTTCACTGAGCGCTCACATGTCTGCTCCAGACACACATTTCCATCAGAAACTACAGCTTAAACACCCAACTGCTGACATTCATGCTCATTTGAATTGTGTATGTTTTCATTTACTATTATAACATTATTATGCTATGTAATAGCATCATGTACTTCACTGTTAAGTGACAGTGTCAATATAGTTTTGAGTTTACTGGATTTTACCCAACTAGTAAAGCTGTGATTCTAAAGACTTATTACATACTACATTGCAGTACACATTTATCATCAGTGATGGCACCTATAAAAGTGACACAAAGAATAATTGTACCCAAAAAAACAAAATAAAAAGCTGTATTATTGAGAATTTTTCATCTGAACTAATTCAGAGCTCAAAAGATGGCAATTGCTTGTGCTCTGCTTGAAAGGAACAGCCAAAACCTTCCCAGACAACAATCTATGCAACAGTCTGGAGCAGAGTACAAAATTAAGTATACAATTAAGCACAGATCTTGGATTTATCCCTAAATAAACATGTGTGAATACTTCTACTGTATTTTACAAAACTAGATTAGAAACAGCCTTAACCATCAAGTTGTCTGACCTTATACAAATCGAAGGATTTAACAATTTAATAACCCTGTGTTTCAGAAAGCATTATGACTATTTTTCAGTTAAGATACACTGATAGTTTCAGAACACTTACAATTCTTTTTAGGTGCTAATATCAACATAAAATACTTACCCTTCAGCAACAGTTCTTTGACATTTTCAGTAACTTGGTTTACCATTATTCTTCCTCCAGTTCTTAGCACATGCTTTAGTAAATGCTTCCTCTGTGAAGTCCTGAGGATTGGACAGCTATAATAATATTGTATTTCCAAAAGAACTGTTTCTACCTGCTCTGACAAATGCTGGCTGCAATGCTGAATTGGACTGATCTCTTCCAAGAAGCAAGAGTTCCTCACAGAAAGTTAAGCTGACACTGATATAATCCTGGCATAATAATCCTTTCAATAGTGAGAAAATATACAAATACCAGGATCTTAGAGAAAATACTACTTGTGAAATCCAAGCCCAGGCGCATTTAAGAGGCACACTGCAGTTTGCACACTTGCTCAGAAAAGTGTGCCACAGATCTGCTGCTGGCTGAGTGTGGACTCAGGGTTTTAAACCTGCTAGTGCCACTAAAAGTGTAGCTCTGTGACGTAGGCCCTGCAGGCATTTCAGCTTGCAAGTGAAAACAGTCATCTGTTTCTTTCCATCTTCAATACATTAGAAGAGGATGACCCATTAATGGATGAACGATATGTGAGATAACCAAAAAAACTAGCAACAGCAGATGAAATGGGAGATTTACATAAGATAAACATGAAATACTAACTTAATGATTCTAAGCACTTCATAATTACTAGAGCCCCCACCATTCAGCCCACTCACAAGGAGGTTCTCTGGATATCAGCACACACCTCACTAAGACTTATCTATCTACATGATGAGGCAGGTGAAGTCACCAGGAATACCTGGGCAATTAAAGATACCAAGTCACTTTTGAGAAATTTGATTTAACAACTCACATCACTTGGGAGCTTTCATAATATAACCTGTCACTGCCAGATGAAGAAAAAAAAAACAAAACACTATAAAAACAACCTCTATTTCACTGTAATCCACTTCAGAGGTTCTTTCATGTGGAACAATTCCAAAACCATTTCTCATGATTATCCTCCCCAAAACTCCATCCCTTCACATGCATGAGGGCACCTCAGATACAGCACACCTTCTATCAAAAAAATATAGAGAGCAACCTTCTGGTATTTCTCAGGGAAAACCTCTTATCTTGCTATAAAATGTTCTTACTTTCTCTGAAAGACTGCAACATACATCTATGAGACTGGTATGCAGATTCCATGCAATATTCAATTAAAATTCACCTTTCTTTCTGATACCAAATACAGAAAATTCTTTTCAGCCCCATCCAGGTTCAGCTGACCATGGCTTCATAGCACAAAAGAGAGAACAACAAAAAAAAAAAAAAGACCAAAAAACACACACCACCGTTCTGGACATACCTGTTCCCTCCTCCAGCTCAACACAGGCCAAAGAAACAATTGTACAGACACAAACCTTGGAGTGAGAGAAAGCAGATGGGAACAGTGACCACTAAATGCTAGTATTGCCACCACCTCAAAAAACTTCCTACAAGGAACAAGTGGAAAGAAGTAAGTTAAGAGCCAGGATGTTAAATATGCTCCAGACATGCAGAAAATGACAGAAGAAAGGAGATTTAATTACTCTGAACATTTCAATGTATGTACATTCTGTGCACTGCACAATGTGTAGTAACACAATGTGCATTTACAGACATCAATCTGCTATCCATCCATGGAAGACAGCAGAAAGACATTGGTAACCACTTACAAGCTGATTGTGAAACCCTGAATGTCATTAGTTTTCAGTCAGTTAACTCATACAGAAAGTGCTGAACATCAGATATTTCTTATATTAGAGAAGTACCGTATTCCATGTGGAAACAAAGCTCATGAGAGATTTTTTTTTTTAAGCCAAGGAAAAAGGAAAGGGGGAGGGTGTTTCAAGGAGGAGAGCAAAAAAAAGTTAAGCAAATCCAAGGATGACCTTTCAATATGAAGTGCTACAAACAGCCAAAACTCACTCTACCTCTGATCATAATACTTAGAGAAATTACAAGTCAGCATGATACTTCTCCAAGTAAAGGGAGTCACTCCTTCCCACTGAACAACTCAGAGGGTGGAGAGAGCTCTGACATTGCACATGATAAAGAGAAAACCACTGTTCTTCTAAAATACAAATATTTTGACCCACATTTACAAAGAGCCCACAAGTCTCCCAAAACAGCAGAACACATTTCCCACAGTACAACACAGCACAGACCAAGACGAAGTCAGATATCTGGAGAAGCCACAGAGGCTTTTACCATAATTTTACAGAAAGTTCATCTGTTTGCAAGAGCATCAGAGCAAAGTAGGAATAACACAAGAGCTTAGAGAAACTCTTCAAAGAGCAATCGGCAACGTTAGATCACTTTTCTGCTTCACCAGTCAGGACTTAGGCAGCTGGAACACAATCTAAGTCAGAAAACTCCCCAAGATGTATAATAGTGAGTTTGCTCCTGCTAAATAGATGCTTCTACCAAAAAGTCTACAATACAGTGTCTTAACAGGGCAAAGGCAAAATACTGCAATTAAATAATTCTCTCTGTGTTACCTTGAGCTACAGCTTTAAAACTGCATGTGTGCTAAAAGGCAACTTAACACAAGGCAGATAATCACCCCACTGTCTGCTTACACAGAATTGGGATTTACCAAACATGGCTTAACCATACCTCCTTTCATGACTGGCTACCATGAGGCAGAAATTAACCCCGACATCATCACCACATTTCCTGGAACACAAACACATCAAGAGTGAGTGGTTTGTGTTGGCCTAGACAAAAAAAAAGACAAGATAAAAGTTCATGCAGGAGCTGAAGCAAGGGTTGGCTTGTAATGCTCTCAAAACAGCCATGTCCCAGCACAGGGTGCAGAACACAAACAGGAATAAAGAGAAATGAAGGGATGCTGTTGAGGGGATGGGAGTGGTCAAGTGGTACTACTGCCAAACACTTCACATTGTGAAATCACAGGCTGAACAGTTAAAACCTTAGCAGAACAAAGCCAAAAAAATACATGAGCTGAAGGTTCTAAAATCAGATCTGCAAAACAATTAACAAACGTCTACCTTTGTGTCAGCCCTGAACACAAATATACACTACAGCAAGTAGTAGAAAAAGTAAGATCAATTATACTATTTAGAAGAGGATCAGCAAGACAAAGCTTCTAAATACAAAGGTAGAAAGCAGAGGAGAAACAGTAATGTGCTGTCCTCCATCAGAGACAGCAGCAGCTATGCCACACTCTCGAATTGCTCCTAGTCCTGACTCAGATCTGACCTCCTACATGGAAATCCAGAAGTGGACTTTGCACACAGTGCTCAGGGCTATTCAGCTTGCAAACAGAGACAGGGTCATAAAACAAAGTAGCATTACTATAGATAATTTTATGGAAAACAACTATACTCCAGGGCATAAAAACTGTGTTTAACTGCAGCAATCAGCAATGTAAAGTATGCAAGAGCAAGTCTCAACAAGTTTGCCCTTCTTAACTCAGCAAATGAGCAGCTTCTAATGGCACACCATAAAAATCCTCTTTTCCCTTTGACATGGAAGTGAAAGTCAGAAGGTTGTATGGTCTGCTTCATGATAAGAGGGTAAGTGCAGTGATTGAATGATGATCTAAATCCCTTAGATAAACAGAAGAAATTGATGGCTACTGGTAGGAGATGAAACTGAAGGCTGGTAATTAGAATGCAGGGGAAAAAATCCCACGTAGTCTTGTTGAGGCATAATTACCTACGCATAGCACAGTGTGCCTCTGCCCTACACACAGCTCTGCATCACCGCCCCTCTGCCAGGAGCTGTCACACAATCCCAGCCTCCAACAGCAGCTCACAGCTCTGATTCTCGTTTTCACAGCAATCGATGGATTGCAGCCTCATGACACTACAGCCCATGTGCCAGTCAATGCAAGAGCTTCTAGGACAATGCAGGTCACTTGGGTGGAGAGAAAGGGGCAAATTAATCATTCTGCATTCAAGAGGGTGGACCCGCTGGCCAAACCCTAAATGTGAATACCTGTGGTAAAAATGCTGGCATGCCATGCCTTCCACAAAGGAGCTTCCTGGAGCAGCACTGTGACCATCAGTACAGAGGAGGGATGATGGCCACCCCTCCACCAGTCCCAGCCACCTCCCTCAGGCCCTGCCCAGCCCTGCCTGGCACTGGCCTCTCATCTTCTGCTCAGCAAAATGTCATTTCATTTTTATTTCCAATAAGTCTAAAGCTGCGTCCAGTCAGCAGAGCGTAACTGCCAAGTTATCAAACTTCCCCATTCATCCGCAAGCTAATTGAGTAAAAGCTTTTTTGGGGCAATTAGCACTTTATTCTGCATGTCAAATTCCATCTCTCTGTCCTACAGAGCACAAAGAAGATCAAGAGATGATTAAGAAAGAACTGCACCTGGTACCTTTGACAGCAACAAAAATTTGACAAAGTGTGTTCCCAGAACTGTTCTGACCTGTACCTCTGCTGTTCAGACATGATTTAAGACTGGTGGAAAGCCAACAACCTTCTTTTCCAAGCCATACCTAGAACCCACCACAAAATCTAAAGCCGTATTAAAAGCCTGCTAGGAAAAAAAAAAATGCACTCCATTCCCTCCAGGAACTTCTTTCTACAGTTCAAAATGACAATTTGAAACTTGTGAAACACTGTTTCACAAGCCATAGGGAACAAACAGGCAGAAAACAGGCTACAAAATAACCTCCACACACAGTTTTATATATACATAGATATATATATGCAGTTACAGTATACAAAATGTTGTCATATTCAAATTCCAGAGAGGTTTACCCTACATGCACTGTAAGGGCTGTATTTTTGAGTAGACCTTTTAAATTTAAAGACAGTCATACTAAATGTCACGTATTACAGTCTGTGAAAAGACTAATATTTTTTGTGTATGTATTTTGTTATTTTGCTTGCTTAAAACAAAGATATTGTTCACTTGGCAACTGCTACAGCAGCCACTGTGAAAGATGCTCAGTCCTCCATGCATGACAAAATCCAAGTATGCTGAAAGACATCATCCAAACCAGCTCAACTGAAAGAACAAGAACAGTACTACTCATTGCTAAGGGATCACTTGGCAGCATTTAAACAGTTGCCTATTGAAAACTAATAATTAAGAAAGAGGTTTCACTAAATCAAACAAAAAAGAAAAAAACCTGAAACTTTATTATCTGAGAATAAAATTCACCTTAGTGAATTTAAGTGATGCAAAATTTCCAATTCAGGGATTATTGAAGACAAAGGAAACACCCCTAAAATGTAATTCAAATAGGCTTTAAACCACGTCTTAAAATGGTGCATTTTTTTTTTCTCTGTAATGCAGGTCACAAAACAATGTATTTAAAGAGCAACCTTGAACCAACAAGTTGAAGACCTTTGGACCTTTGGATCAAAGAAATCTTGCTCCATGTATCAGTGCTAATAGCAATTTTTCTATAATTTAAAGCAGCCTGCACATTATTTGTTGCATCACAATCGAAACCAGATGTCAATCCTTAACTTGGTCTTGGAAGGTGAAACTGCCAAATGCAGCTTTCCTCTCCCTGTGGCACTGGGATCCCCCTGTATCCCCCAGCCTGTTACTTGCACTTCTAAACAAGGCAGTGATCACTAACTCTCATCTCTCTCAAGGTGGTTGTTCCAACCTCAGCCAATGGCATTTATCAGGTTTGGCTACATTCCCTAGTCAATGAGACTGCAAACTACCTCAGTCTTCATTCTACACAGAACCTTAGAGCAAAAAACCAAAATTAAATTTTACATTGAAAAGCACACAAAAACTTATGATTTAATTTTGTTGCAGCAGGGAAAAAAAGCAGATGTCACTATTTCCTTGAGGAAGTGAAACACTGAAGAAATTTGTAAGGGGAAATTGAATAACACACACAGATCAATTTTATACATGGAAGAGAGATATAATACAAATACAAGACAACCAAAAATGTACTTAAAGTTCTTTAGAGAAGTTCGGCAATTGTATAGGAGACATCATTTCAGCATTATTAAAATACTCCCAAACTTAGACTCAACTCAGGTTTGGAATGGCAGCTTAACTAGCAAAGGCAGAGAGAATTAGGTAGAAAACCCATGTCTTTTCATGTACAACTGCTTAGTCTTCTAATGCAGGTGTTCTCCAAAACACCAAAATTCTGCAGTTGCAAAAGACCAACAGAGAGTTCTCTGGGTTCTTTCAACAATCTCCTCTTAGTTTTTTGCACCATGCAGACCCATGGGTACAGGAGCTGCTTTCACATCACTCAGACCTATCACAAAGATTCTTCCCAGAGCTTTTTCAAATAACTGAAATACCAGAGAACCCACAAAAAGGCCCATGTTTTTCTATATTTAGATAAGTCTCCTGTTCACCAGCAGCTGGCACCACGATCCCCTTGGTACTGGACAGCTGCAGCCTCCCCAGCTCGGTCCTAATCACTGCAAAAATTAGAAAAAGTATGAGACATGCTTAGCAAAAGTAGCAGTTTATGCAGCAACAAGAACTTTTTTGTTTTCTTAGACAAGCATTTTAACAAATTAAACCTTACTACACTACAAGTCAATAAAATAGAGGTATTAACCATGGGCTCCAGGAAAATGAGCTCCTCAGAAAAATTCCTTTGATTACAGGGTATGAAGAAATATACACCACCTCCTTCACCCTCCTAGCTATTATAAACACCTAATTATGTCACAAAGCACATTTCCACTCTCATTTTTCACATGCCAAACTCTTATCTTTCCTTATCTGAAGCAAGAGTCCACTCCTCTATGCACCTGTATTTCTGAGAAAAGCATTCTGGAATTTACCACTGCAATCATTGCTGTGCTAATTGCTGTTTGCTCAAACAGAAAGAAAAAGAATTGGGAAAAATGTGAAAAACAACTTTCCATTTCAAACTATAAAGNCTAAGACCCCTTTTAGGATCTGCACTGAAAACCATAACTATTGCTGTGGATCCCACATGTACCCTTTCTAAAAAGAAATAAATATTGATATATTTAGCATTGTCAGGACACCTTTAATATCTCCAAATTTACACATCATACTTTTCAGAGAGGGGAAACCAGATGCCAGCAGAACAGAAAGAAAAAAAACAAAACCTTCCCATCAAAATGCCACTACACTGAAAAAGATGCAGTCTCCATTCCATTTTCAGTAAGAGAACAGTTAACAAATCACCAGAAAAGACAAGACAGTTAACTGACATCAGTTTTGCTATTCTCAAGTTACTTTCTTTTCTCTGAAACAATTCAGAGGTTCTGCCTCAACCCCACCCTAGGCTGCCTCCTCTATGACCTCTTTCTGCAGCTTTTAGGCAACACAAAAAACACTGAAGACACTTGTGCTACAGAGGTTATGCAAAAATATTCCACTATGACCACCCTAACAGTGCCATTTAGCCACACTGCTGCCAGTGAAAGTTCTTAAGACAACTTAAATGTTATCTGGACATGTTTCTGTTGTCCTATTTAGCCCTACTGTCTAATTTATTACATGACTAATTTAATCTTATCTCCGAACTTGGCCAAAACACCTACATGTAAGAATTAAGCACTTTGAAGAAGAGTTTTTGAATGATTTATGTGTCCCCATTGGAAGTATCTTCAGACACACTTTATGTGATCTTAGTTACAAGTCTTGCAAAAGACTGCAAATCTTTACCAGCAACTTACCACACATTAAAGCAGTGAACCAGGAAGTTTAAAGTAAAAGCATA